GGCAATCCACTCTGGTATTCTTGCCTGGGAAACCCCACAGACAGAGGAGCCTGGCGGTCTAGGAGGGTGCAAAAGAGTTGGACACAACCTAGAGACTAAAACAACAGCAAAAGCTTACAAAACAGAAGCTCCTATTCCTGAAAGGGGAAGCAATACTCCAGGTATGGGAGAGAGCCTCAAGAGCTGATCATTACAAAAATATAAATTTTCAAATAAACTCATACTTTAAAAAAGTTTTGTCCTTACTCCAACCAGAGGGAGAAACTTCATTCATATACGCATTCATATATTTATTCCTTTAAACAGTTGCCAAATTTATAATTCCCAGATCAAACCTGTATCACTTTCTCTAGAGACAAACAACTGATCTTCTGTGAATAATTTTCCTTCTCATCTGATTACTTTTGACAGAGTTGCACTACGTTCTCAACCATTTTGGCTAACTAAACATCCTGGAAAAGAACCACTGATGCTTTGAAACTTGAAATAGTTGTGATAAATGTTTTCATATTACAGGGAGCAAAAATAAGCATCAGAAATATTTTTAAGCTATCCAGAACATAATGGATATATTTTACCTTGCATGATGGACCTTATTTTCTTAAACCAAATCAAGATGCACAACTTTGTTCTCAAGAAGATTACTATAGGGTGTCAAAGAAAGAAGGAGTAGACAGAAAACACATACATTAAGACAGAAGGTAAGTGTCTTAACAGAGGGAGAGATAATACTATAAGAGCATTCTACTGGGTAACAAAAGAGATCTCTAATCAGATAAATCTGGGAAATACTGAAATGTAGTAAATAAATTTAAACAGATTAAAATGTTAATCACCACTGGTATCCTCCAACAGAAGGCAGCATTTCCTAAGTCTGTTTTACCAGGTCATCCTGATTTACACAGCATGTTGAAGGTCTACTGTTCTGCAGACAGATTTGGGAATTGCTATCTTCAGGGATTTAGGAGGAGAGGCTACTTTAAACTAAGGGGATCAAGAAATACTTCATATAAGAACTAATATGCACACTAGGGCTAGAAAGACACATGGGATTAAGTCACTATGGGGAGACAGATGCTAGTGAAAAGGCCATTTCAGGCAGGGAAGCAAAGCAACAAAGCATCTCCAAAGAACTGAGATACATGAATGACTCAAAGTAAATGTAGTATAAGTGGCATGAAAATGGATTGTAGAAATAAAAGATGTAGCAAGGACACTGGATTTTGGTAAAGAAGGTTTATATTTGTTAAAAACCTTGGGATTTCAGTTGGAAGGGATGCACAAGTTTACACTTGTTGACCAAAGTTAAATCAAGTATGGCCTTTGTTCAAATCAAAAGACTTCAGTTTAGATGACAAGTTACTTGATCATTTGACAATACAGAAATACTGATTCTGTAAATTCTTATCATTTAAACATAGATGATAGACTAAATTGTATGTCAGGGATATGCTTCGAAATAATTTGGGAAGGGTATAAATGAAAAAGACTGTCCACAAGTTAGGACTTCTTGAAACCAGATCATAAGTACATGGTGGTTCATTACACTGCTATCTTTAAACAACTGTATATGTTTCCTGAAATAAAACTTTGAAAAAAAATAACATTCAAAGGAAATGTAATGGTAAATCTATGACTTCAGTAATTTAATAAAATATAATATTTTGCCATCTCACTAAATGACTACATTTGTCAAATATGCAAACTTACTGAAAATTAAGTGACTAAAAATTCACCTTTCTGCAAGAACTGCATAATTTCAAATAAGAAAAAGAATACATATTATGCTCTTTTTCTGCTTAAAGGTAGTTTTGCTCTTATTTCTACTATAAATGGTTTAATTGAGAAAGTACAGTAAAACCCCATGAAAATATGGAATTTCTTTAATGTGCCAGTGTCTATATTGATCCTGTCAACTGATTCAAGAGCTTTACGTATTTGCTGTAAGATGACCCAAATAAGGATATTCCAAAAACAAACTCTCCTACTGTAAAATCTCAGACTGCAAAACACTCCCCCAGAAAAGCTGCAAGTATCATTAATGTGCAGAAACAAAACTTTTTTTAAAAAAAACTGTAACTACAGCCTACAGTGAGGGAGGATTTTGTTTAAATCTTATTTATAGATCCTTATACATTTCCATCACTCATTAGTAAATAACAGACACATGTTAGTTGAAACAAATTTCACTCATATGTAGATATATACAATTAAAGATACAGGCTATATGTGCATGATTATATGCAAAATTCAATTAGACCATCTAAGCTTAAAAATTACTATGATAAATTTTGCACATTTTCTCCAATTAAACAGAGTACTATGAAAAGCCTACTGATTCTAATGTATCAAAATTATTACAAAGCCTATCCTTTGAATCTAACTATGAAACACACAAATCTAATTATTTTAACTATCTCTTTATCACAAAGTTTAATTTTTTCTTTTAAAATTCTATAGTGGGTATTAAACTAATAATGAAAAATCTATATTGTTTACTTGTACACTATAAAAAAAATAACAGCATAGATATGGACTGCTGTTGAACTGTGGTTGGAAAAGACTCTGGAGAGTTCCGTGGACTGCAAGGAGATCCAACCAGTCTATTCTAAAGGAAACCAGTATATTCATTGGAAGGACTGATGCTAAAGCTGAAACTCCAATCCTTTGGCCACCTGATGCGAAGAACTGACTCATGTGAAAATACCCTGATGCTGGGAAAGACTGAAGGCAGGAGGAGAAGGGGACAAGAGAGGATGACATGGTTGGATGGCATCACTGACTCGATGGACCTGAGTTTGAGCAAGCTCCGGGAGTTGGTGACGGACAGGGAAGCCTGGCATGCTGCAGTTCATGGGATCACAAAGAGTCAGACATGACTAAGTGACTGACCTGAACTGACTGAACTCTCCATTATTAACTTATTTACATATATTAATTTCTCTCTAGTCATTGTGACAACTGACTTTGTTTAAATTTCAAAACATACATTGTCATTTTAATCAACTATCTTAACTATCTTAACAAATAATTATTGAAGAGTTCTCCCCAATTTGATACTTAGCTGAGGCAGCAAGAGCTATCCATAAGTATAAAATTAAAATGGACTCACAATAGAGATATCTAACTTTTCAGAAGCCAAAGCACACGTATCTTTAATCAATGATAAACAACAGGAAAGTATTGATAAGATGTAAAGACAAATGCTCAGGAAAAAATGACATCTTAATCTAGCTGAAATACTCATATTCTGTTCTAAATTATTCCTCTGTAGCCCAAAAACTTGGAAGAAATGGAAAGATTTATATATGATTCCTCTATTTCTCTACTTGTTTTAATTCTAACAATGAGTGACATAATTATAAAGTAATATATTAATGCATAAGGTTTGTATAGAAACAAAGAATTAATATGCTAAAACAGACCATGTAATATCCAAAGCTTACTATATTATGTGTATACAACATCTGTGAATGAAGATGTTAGTAACAAATCTGTGCTCCCCCAAAACTTTTAATTAATAGATAAAACAATAAAAGATACTTTCTAGGAATCTATATTTAATAATTATTAAGACATCAGTAAATTTCTGATCAGCACAATATACCTGACTGATAAGTAAGTCAGTGTATTCATCATTCAAGAAATATTTAACGAGAGTCTACACTGTGCCAGCTAATGTCCTAGGTGCTGGAGACAGAAATGTAAATTGGTAAATAATGTACATTACACCTTGTCATAAAACAAAAAATATCTCAATGAACATGATCTCTATTATTATCTCTGTAGATCTCTGAGAGAAATGACTACAAGATTAAGGAGATGAGTTGTATACTGTATTCTTCTTCATAGGCTACAAAATGATAAACTATATGTTACAATGAATTATGTATTGCTATGTATAGTATATATTATATAATCCATGCAATTACATACAGACTACAGGTATTATCAAGAACATGAGCTCTTATCAGAAAGGAATAATGTCTACTATCAGGGCTTAATATACAGATAAACATCTGATAAATAAGTGTGTAATGAGTTTCGATATTTCAGGAGATGCAGTAGTATGCCTGGGATTCCCTATAAAGTGAAGTTGCTCAGTCGTGTCCGACTCTTTGCGACCCCATTGACTGCAGCCTATCAGGTTCCTCCATCCAAGGGATTTTCTAGGCAAGAGTACTGGAGTGGGTTGCCATTTCCTTCTCCAGGGGATCTTCCCGACCCAGGGATTGAACCCGGGTCTCCTGCATTGCAGGCAGATGCTTTACCATCTGAGCCACCAGGGACGTCGGGATTTCCTATATATAACAAAACCGAGCTCTGTTCCAAAAGGAGTATTTCTGCAGCATACACATAACAGTCTCTGAAAAAACAGCTATAGCTTTGACGGTGAGTGTTAGACGTTAAAATGAAAACGAGGGGAAACTATTGCTTCACTAGACTGTATTTAAAAAAAAAATCTAACTCCAGACTTCCTACAGACTCAGCCCTGGGAATTTCCAGCCTGATGGACTGCCCTACATGTGTGTGTGTGTCTGTGTGTGTGTGTGTATGTATATTTGGATCCAGAATTTGGGTTTATTTCTGCAAATCAAGGCAGAGTTGTGAGAGGTAGGGGAAAGAAAGAGTGAAAGATTGACACATTTCCCTCATGAATGATAATACAGTTACATCCACAAGTATGTTATGTTAATTAAATAATTTAACAACATAGTTACACAGATCTAAATTAGTCACAACTACTCAAGGAGAATATACAACGAAAAACTGAGTATACAACAAAGCATCTACAGTTACATGAAGAAAACATGCTGTGCGTGGAACACATATACCATAAAATTATATTACTAAATAAGGCATGCACAAAAACAGAGAAATACAGTAACTGAAGAAGCATGAAATATTGATGTTATGATTCCAATTAGTCTGCTGATTCTATCAAGTAAATAATATAAACTCAAAGCATATAATGGGAAATAAATCAAGTTGATACATACTTGTGACAAAAAATTTTTTCGTGAAAGTACAACTATCAAAGGCAGCAATTTTCTCCTGCAATACTACGACAAGGATCCTAAAATCAGAGGGAAAAAAATCATTAAAGAAAATGTTAATGTGAAGTTCTATAACCTTAATCATAAGTTAAGTTAAATCAGTATCTACCGTAGCAATTTTTAAAGATCAAACACACCTTATAACATATAAGCTAGAAACATCTGCTTCTTAGATATAAAAATATAACCACAAAATCCTTAATATGATCAAGACAGACAAGATTAGAGGAAGAAAAGTGATAGAACTACACCTCAAATTTTTTTATCATATTTTAATTCATTATAAATCAAACGAGACCAATAAACTGATGGCTATTTACTAAGTGTTTTTCCACTGCTGGCTCAAAGTCATGGAATTAAACATAAAATGGATTTTTACAACCTGTCACTTAAAATGACTGCGGAATTTCCCAACACAGGAGCCAAAGAAGAGAGGGAGGGAGGGAAAACAGGAAGGAAGAAAGAAAGGAAAGAAGGAAGGAAAGGACTGAGGGAGGATGAAAATTCAGAAAACTGTTATTCAGTGTAAATGAGATATTTCTGATTAAGGATATATTAAAATTAATCAGAATTTTTATTTCTCCCAAAGTCCAAGATTTAGAAATAATTAGGAAAAAGTTTTTCCAGTGGTCATGTATGGATGTGAGAGTTGGACTGTGAAGAAAGCTGAGGGCCGAAAAATTGATTGCTTTTGAACTGTGGTGTTGGAGAAGACTCTTGAGAGTTCCATGGACTGCAAGGAGATCCAACCTGTCCATCCTAAAGGAGATCAGTCCTGGGTTTTCGCTGGAAGGACTGATGCTGAAGCTGAAACTCCAATACTTTGGCCACCTCATGTGAAGAGTTAACTCATTGGTAAAGACCCTGATGCTGGGAAGGATTGGGGGCAGGAGGAGAAGGGGACGACAGAGGATGAGATAGCTGGATGGCATCACCGACTCGATGGACATGAGTTTGAGTAAACTCCGGGAGTTGGTGATGGACAGGGCGGCCTTGCGTGCTGCAGTCCATGGGGTCGCAAAGAGTCGACACAACTGAGCGACTGAACTAAACTGAACTGAGGAAAAAGTTACAAGTTTTCAAAACTAAAATGCATCCAAAATGAAGTTACTTTAGAGTATTGCTACATGCTATCTTGCACAAGAAACACATGAAAACCTGCTTACCTTTTGTTGCAATGGAGATCATAGATAGGCGTTTTAAACTGAATGGACTTGACCATTTCCCCAGTACGAAGTGAATACAAATCCACACAACAGTAAGGTGGACTTGTGCTACAAAAACAAACAAAAAAGACAAGAGTCATTGTGCTTCAAAAGGGGGGCAGGCCAGTAACTTTTCTTATTAACATAATACACGCAAACTGATTATATGTATATATATTTGAATCAATCTATCTTAGGAATGTCAAATGTAAACAAATAACGAAACATCACTCAATTAATATTGTAGAATGGGAAAATTATAAGATGATCTCAATAATGAAGTAAAGCATTTGAGAGAATTAAAACCAGTTCATAAGAGATATTTCATTAATCTGATAAAGGATACCAACCTTAAAACTAATCAACAAAATTAGCAATCACAAAATCGTGAAATATTGAAACGTTTCACCCCAAAATGAGGAATTAGAAAAGAATATTTGAAGACTATGGCACTGTACACCATATAGTATAGAAGCTCTATGCATAAGAAATTACTACAAGAAATAAATAAAGCTACCATGATTTGCTGAGAATTTGATTGTATAAAACCTAGTAACACAAAGTTGCAATATATATACAGACAAACCTGATAATAAAAGACTAACCATTAATATATGCATTAATATGTAAACTGATTATTACTATGGATTATCAGTTAATACATGGGTTTACCAAGGTCACTAGATAAAACATCATGTCTACTATTATAAACTAAGGATAAACAATTATGAAGTGAGGTCAAAGATACAAGTATTTGAGCACCTCAGACAGTTCAGTCTCCAAAGGGAAGGTTTGACTACATTAACAGGAAAGGCACAAAGCAAGGCAACAAAGGCCGAAATGAAGGGACACATGCCGCGGGCAGCTCCTGACAGATGCGACTCAGCCCTCATCAAGAACCCACCAGGGATGGATCTCATCCTAAAACACCATAAATACACATTCCAATAGGATTTAAACTATAAACACACTAAAACAGATGACGAGATCAATGTTTCCACCTTAATAAAGGAGGAAAAGAGCAAGTTAAATCAAAGTGGAATGAGGGAATTAATACAACAAATCAATGAAATAAAACTTGGGAAAGCAAAAGAAGAAAATGAATGAAACTAAACCTAATTTCTTGAAACAGATAATTTGAATATTCCTGTATCTACAAAGAAACTGAACTCATAACTTAAAATTTCTTACAAAGAATTTCTTAAAAATGGCTTCACTTGTAAATTTTACCAATCCTTGAAACAAGTCTAGATATCTTACACAAATTCTTTTAAAGGTAGAAGAGCAGGCACCAACTTACTTTATGAGGCCGTTAACACCTGATTCCCCCAAAAAACAAATACTTCACAAGAAACTACATATAAATTTATATATGTCTCATGAATATACATCAAGAATTCTCAACAAAATATTAATAAGTAAAATCTAGATGAGATTCTTCCTAGAAATAAAACACTATTGAATAGAAGAGAACTTCTTCAACTTGATGACGGGCATCTACAAACAACCCACAGATAGAAAGATCAACACTTTCCTGAAAGATGAGGAACAAGGCAAAACTACCTACTCTTAACTTCAATAACCTTAGATACGCAGATGACACTACCCTTATGGCAGAAAGTGAAGAACTAAACAGCCTCTTGATGAAAGTGAAAGAGGAGAGTGAAAAAGTTGGCGTAAAACTCAACATCTCAGAAAACTAAGACCATGGTATCCGGTCCCATCACTTCATGGGAAATAGATGGGGGAAACAGTGGAAACAGTGACAGACTTTCATTTTGGGGGGCTCCAAAATCACTGCAGATGATGACTACAGTCATGAAATTAAAAGACGCTTACTCCTTGGAAGAAAAGCTATGATCAACCTAGACAGCATATTAAAAAGCAGAGACATTACTTTGCCAATAATGGTCCATCTAGTCGAAGCTATGGTTTTTTCAGTAGTCATGTATGGATGTGAGAGTTGGGACTATAAAGAAAGCTGAGCACTGAAAAATTGATGCTTTTGAACCGTGATGCTGGAGAAGACTCTTGAGAGTCCCTCGGACTGCAAGGAGATCCAACCAGTCCATCCTAAAGAAATCAGTCCTGGGTGTTCATCAGAAGGACTGATGCTGAAGTTGAACTCCAATACTTTGGCCACCCAATGCGAAGAACTGACTCATTGGAAAAGACCCTGATGCTGGGAAAGACTGAAAGCAGGAGGAGAAGGGGATTACAGAGGAGGAAACGGTTGGATGGCATCACTGACTTGACAGACATGAGTTTGAGTAAGGTCCAGGAGTTGGGGATGGACAGAAAGGCCTGGCGTGCTGCAATGCATGGGGTCGCAAAGAGTCAGACATGACTGAGTGACTGAACTGACCTACTCTTCCCACTCCTGTTCAACAATAACAACCTAATTTTTAAATCTTTATGAAAATTCATAAAACATAGTTTGGGTTACTTTAAATGTATAAGAAAAGAGGAAATCCTGCCACCTGACAACATGGGTTGAGGGCATTATGCTAGGTTAAATGAAAGAAAAATACTGTATGATCTAATTTATATAGTGAATTGAAACAAAAACTCAACTCATAAAAAAAAAAGAACAGGGGTGTCCCTGGAGGTCCCGTGGTTAAGGCTCTGAGCTTCCAATGCAGGGGGTATGGATTTGATACCTACATCCCACATGCCAGGAAGCATGACCAAACAAAACAAATGAAGTTTTTCTTAAATCCAATTTAATTTTTAATAAAAAAGAACAGATTAGTAGATGCCAGAGCCCAGGTCAGGTGGGGAGGTATGAAAGAGGTGAAGATAGTAGAAAGGTACAAACATCCAGTTATAAGATCAGTATGTCCTGAGAATGTAATGTACATCACGGTGACTACAGTTAACAGTGTGTATAGGTGTTCAGTCGTGTGCACCAACTGTTTGTGACCCCATGGACTATAGTCTGCCAGGCTCCTCTTGTCCATGGAATTTTTTAGGCAAGAATACTGGAGTGAGTTGCCATCTTCCCCCTCAGGGGATCTTCCCCACCCAGGGATCAAACCTGCTTCTGTTTTTATGCCCTGGTCTTTTGGCTGCAGGGCATGTGGAACCCCTACTCCCAAACCAGGGATTGAACCCACACCCCCTGCAATGGATGGTGAAGTCTCAACCATTTGATTGCCAGGGAAGTCTCTGGCCATAATGTTCTAAAAGATATTTTACCATGGAAGATACAAATATAGTAACTAAGGGCTTGAAAAAATGTTAAATATTACTAATTATCAGGAAAATACAAATTAAAACCACTAAGGGATACCACGACTAGAACGGCTAGGATTTTACAAGACTGTTAATTCAAGATTGCAAGACTTTCATACATTGCTATTGGGAATGCAAAAAGACAGTCACTTTGAAAAGTAGTTTAGCAGCTTCACATAAACATATCTAAGTCATGCTGCGGTACTCTTGTTATTCATAATTTTGTTTTATGCACAGTTAAATGTTGATCAACAGGCGAATTTGGCTAAATGTATTGTGATATAGTCAAGCAACAGAAAATTAATAACAGAGGAAACTATCCACCTAACAGCACAGATGAATTTCAAAACCATCATGAAGTTCTTGGGGTCAAACATAAAAGTCTACATACTCTATGGGTCCCTTTCAATGAAAAGCTAGAAAGGTAAAACTGTAATAACAGGAAGCAGATCAGTGGTTGCCAGCGGCCAGAGAAGGGAGCTACACAGCACAAAGTGGCATGATGGGTGCCGCTGACAGGATGACACAAACGGTGCTGGATATTGATTGTGCTAGAGATTTACAACTGCACACAATTGGCAAAACTGAAGATGGAGGAGAATCTTGTAAAACCTAAACTCCCAACTCCAAAACGGACACAAGGCAAAAATTCTTTTCTTAATGTTCCCAACTAATTAATCCAGTCCTCTGCTGAGAAGCAATGAGTTAATAATGAATGAAATCTAACATTTTGCCAGACCAACTGGGAAGGAAAAAACAGCTTGTCACCTTCAATTAGCAGCTCATTATAGCCATGGTACACTAGAAACTTGAATTCTGATCATTTTGCTGGCATCCATACAATGTCACAACTGAGAGTCTTCCTGCAGAAAGCCTTCAATAGTAGACAAAACAAACGCTATGAAAGTTCAGTTTAGAGTTGAGTGAACAAGACGTGGTAGAGCTAAAAATTCTATTTATATATGGAAAAAAACCTCTTCTTCAATGCCTAATAGAAAAAGATAATTCATTTAAAATCAGTTTTCAGAAAGTCACACATTCATAAAGGAGTCACGCTATCTGCCAATAAGACAGTTGCGTACACGCCTGACATATCCTTTTGTTCTCTATTTTCTCTCTTTTTAAAAGCCTTGACTATTTCCCTGGGACACAGCAAGACAATCTTAATTTTCCTCATGGGTAGGCTGATGAGAAAGCTTTCCATAACATCAGCAGTATGCAAGCCCTGTAACAGAAAGGACGTGTGTTGTGCTAAAATATACTGGTAAGAAAATAAGCTTTCACTTTATTATTGATGTACACCAAACAGTGTCAAAAGCTGTACACAGAAGTCTTCGTTACATTTCTGGAGCTCAAATGGGTTAACATTTTTATTGGTTTGCATCTGACATTTAAACCTAAAGTTGTGACTTCACTTTAAGATAAACCTAATTAATACCTTAAGGAGAAAAAATTCACACACAAGTGTAGAGAATCTAATTTAGAATGTAACTGAATCTATTGCAAGCAAAACAAGAGTGGGAAAGAAAAGCAGAAATGATGTAATTTGTCTTATTAAATGATTGGTTAAAGGACTCTAAACTGTGCCCAGGCACCACTGCCTTTCCAACATATAAATAGTCAACAGGGGTAACGTATTTAGTACTTTTAATGAAATATAAAATAGAAATGAATGCAAATTCTGCTTAACTGACCTTTCCTTTACCTAAGTAACTTGTTCTATAGTGAGTAACCAGGACATAAATTAAAATTTTTTGCACTGCAGAAATCTGTTACCTGCTATACACATGACCTATACACAAAAAGGAAGCTATAAAGTTTTTATTAGCAAAGGC